TCTCCAAGAAGGCAGAAGGCACTCTTTCTTGAGATAATCCATTCCATTTTTGGACAACTCCCACTTTTAGGAAAGTTTTCCTGCAATCAAACCTAAATTTGCTTCTTTGTAACTTCTACCCATTACTCCTGTATTGCTCAATGTCCTAAACAATATTTATCATATTCTGCATTTTGAGTCCTTCATCTCAGGAATCCTGGTTGGTCATGACATTAATAAGAGTTCCTCACAAGAGTATTCCATCACATTTATATACCATAACTTGTTCATCCATTCCCCAAGTTTATGGGCACCCCTTTACATTGTCATTCTTTACCATCTCAAAAAGAGCTATACATATTTTTGTATATCTTTAGTATTTGTTTTGGTGAGGACTAATCTCTCCCTTAAACTATAGTCCCTCTAATTTCCTCTTCCCCTTCTCCCTTTTCCCTTTGATTTTACTATTGAGTAAAATGTATTTCTGTACCCAGTTCTGTGTGTATATTCTTTCTTATTTTGACTAATTCAGATGAGAGTGAGATTGAAGTCTCAGCTGCATCCCTCCCACATTCTCTCCTTGTTTGTTCAGATGTCAAATTATATATATTCTCATTATGTAATACAATTCTCTGCACACTTCTTCTCATTCCCAATGTATTCCTCTTCTGCTCTCTTTCCATTCATTTCTTAAAATCATCAGGACATAACAACAACCATTCCAAGGTCTTGTCTAATCGAACTTCCTCTATTAACCCTGTTGATGATCAGATAAAACACATGTGTCATCTCCCATATTTGGAATGTAAACAGTGTATCTTTGTTTAGTGTTTTATCATTGTTCATTAATGTTTACCTTTTCACGTTTCTCTTCACTCCTGTGTTTGTATATCAAAGTTTCTCTGCAGCTTTGGTCTTTTCATCAGGAATGCTTAGAAGTAATAATTTTATTAAATGTCCATTTTACTCAGTTTTGTTAAGTAAGTTATTATTGACTGTAAGCTCATAACCTTTACCTTCTTGATTATCATATTCCAAGTTCTCCATTCCTTTATAGTGTTGGCTGCTAAATTATATGTGATCCTGATTGTAACTCCTGAGTACTGAATTCTTTCTTTCTGGATGTTTGCAGTAGTTTTTTTTTTCTTTGACCTGAATGCTCTGGAATTTGGTTATGATTTTCTTGGAAGTTTTCCTTTGGGGATTTCATTTGGGAGGTGACTGGTGGTCACCTGTTTTGTGGTTTTGTTTTGTTTTGTGGTTCTAAGAGATCTAGGAAGTTTTTTTTTTAAGATTTCTTGAAATATAATGTCTGGGCTGAAATTCAGATAGTTCAATGATACTCAAATTTTCTTCTCAATCTGTTTTCCAGGTCAGTTGTTTTTTCCTATGAGTAGGGAGTGACATGATTGCATTTGAAGAAAATCACTTTATGGAAAAACATCAGTTGCTCATGGGTAGGCCAAGCTAATATAATAAAAATGACAATTCTACCTAAGCTAATTTACTAACTCAGTACCATACCAATCAAACTACCAAAAATTATTTTATGGAGCTAGAAACAATAATAACAAGATTTATTTGGAATAACAAAAGGTCCAGGATATCAAGGGAACTAATGAAAAGAAATGTAGGGGAAGGTGGCCTAGCTGTTCCAGATCTTAAATTGTATTATAAAGTGGCAATCATCAAAACTACTTGGTACTGGGTAAGAAATATAGTGGTGACCAGTGGAATAGGTTAGGTATGCAAGACACAGTAGTCAATGACTATAGTAATCTACTATTTGATAAACCCCAAACCCCCAGCTTCTGGGATAAGAACTTACTATTTGACAAAAACTGCTGGGAAAACTGGAAAAGAGTATGGCAGAAACTAGACATAGATCAAAATCTCACACCTATGCCAAAATAAGGTCAAAATGAGTTCATGATTTAGATATAAAGGCTGATACTATAAGCAAACTGGGAGAGCAAGGAATAGTTTACCTATCAGATTTATGGAAAACAGAAGATTCATGACCAAACAGGAGAGAGAGAACATTATGAAATGCAAAATGGATAATTTTGATTACATTAAATTGAAAAGTTTTTGCACAAACAAAGCCAATGCAACCAAGATTAGAAGGAAAATAGAAAACTGGGAATTTTTATAACCAGTGTCTCTGATAAGGACCTCATTTCTAAAATATATAGAGAATTAAGTCAAATTTATAAGAATACAAGTCATTCCCCAATTGATAAATGGTCAAAGGATATGAGCAGGCACTTTTCAGATGAAGAAATTAAAGCCGTCTATAGTCATATGAAAAAAAATGCTCTAAATCACTATTGATTAGAGAAATACAAATCAAAACAATTTTGAGGTACCACATCACACCTATCAGGTTGGCTAACATGACAAAACAGGAAAATGATAAATGTTAGAGAAGATGTGGGAAAATTGGAACATTATAATGCATTGTTGATGGAGTTGTGAAATGATCTAGCCATTTTGGAGAGCAATTTGGAACTATGCCCAAAGGGCTATAAAAATGTGCATACCCTTTGACCCAGCAATAGCACTTCTAGGGCTGTATCCTAAAGCGATCACACAAATGGGAAAAGGACCCACATGTACAAAAATATTTATAGCAGCACTTTTTGTGGTGGCAAAGAATTGGAAATTGAGAGGATGCGCATCAATTGGGGAATGGCTGAACAACTTGTGGTATATGAATTTAATGGAATACTATTGTGCTATAAGAAATAATGAGCAAGTGGACTTCAGAAAAACCTGGAAAGACTTATAGGGACTGATGCTGAGTGAAGTGAGCATAACCAGGAGTACATTGTACACAGTAACAGCCACGTTGTACGATGACTAATATTGATAGACTTAACCCTTCTCAGGAGTACAAGGATCTAAGACATCTCCAAAAATGTCATGAAATGAAATGGTTATAAAACCTAAAAATATTTTTAAGCTTTTTCTATCCGTGTCATTTACACAAACAGGAATCTCTGGAAGTGAATAGTAGTAATCCCTTTTGGTAAATTTTGAGAGGTTTTCTATCGTGTCTTGGATGCATGATCCAGAAAGATAAGAGACCTCTCAGTTGTTAGGGAGTAGACAGGGAGCCACCAACTATAAACCTCTTCTTTTGGCCCTTGGTGGTGATCTCTCAATTGATACCTTCTCTACCTCTACTATATTTTTCTTCAGGGAAAAAGCAGCTTCTTTCTTAAGAGCATCTGACTCTACTCTTCAGAAGCAGCCCCATGTCTATTTTTAAGATCTACTTGTACAGCATTCTCCATTATCTGACAAGGGTCAAGTCTTCCCTCCTCAACCTCAGAATTCTTTCTTTTCCATTAAAGTCTCTTCAGGAACCCTTTATTCTTCCTAACAACTTAGAATGTGGAAAGCTGTTTGATCCGCTTCCATTTGGAACAAAAATAACAGTCCCTTGGCTATGGCATAAAAACAAACATGAACATTCAATGCAAGTTACTGCACATATATACTTATATATCTCTGTCAAATGGTGGCCTTATTTAGTGTGGGATGGGGAGGGAGGGAGGGAGACAAGAACTTAAAATATAACAAAAAATTTAAAAAATTAAATAAAAAAAGAAATAAAACCAGATCTAAATTTAATAAAAAAAACAACAGGGAAATGGCAAACCACTCCAGTATCTTTTCTAAGAAAACCCCAAATGGGGTCACAAAGAGTCAGACACGACTCAAAATGACTCAACATCATATTATTATTATATGATATACATATTAAATTTAATATGGTGGTAACAATTGTTCTACTTGTGTCTCCTCTCTTTTTTTAATTTTAATTTTTTCAGTGGGCTAAACAAGGAAAGGTACACAGTTTAGGATTGATGTATATTAGAAAATACGATGAACAAATCACATTGGCCATTAGGTTAGCTCCATAGGCTGTCTCTTAATTTTGATTTCAGAACAGAATTTGTACTTTGTGTTTTTAGAATACATGGTAGTTAAAACAGGGAGAAGAGGAGGATGGAAAGATTTAAACTTCTGGGAAGTTAAGAATATCTTATAAAATCATAGAATCCCCTGAGAGTAGGATCTCTGAGGTCATATAGTCCAATCTGTGCCAGAAGAATGAATCATGGCTCCTCTGTCATATATCATGTCTCAAGTGACAAAAGGAGAAAAATGTTTATGAAAACAATGTGAATGTGTTTTATTTAATCCAAATATGTGAAAAAATAGTTTTCAGTGAAATGAGCTAAACTACCTTTTGGTTTTCTGAAACTACTCCCCTGTCCAGTGCGCTCACATATGCACATACTCTTTGGTTGATTTATCAGTTTTCAATAACTAGTTTTGGGGAAATCATATGGAAACTATCAAGCAAGTTAACCAAAATAGTAGATGATGGTGCCTTGGGTAGGGAAGGTCCTACAAATAGGGTCTTTTATGCATTGCACAATAGCAGATTGTGAAATACTTAAACCTGAAGGACCTTAGAGAAGCAAGAACTTTAATCTATGTCTATTAAACATTCATTAGAAAGGAGAGGATCACTGAGGGGAAATGAATTTTTGTTATTGTTGTTGATGTATATTATTCTCCAAGACTCATTGTTAATACTTGGAGAAAGTTTATTCAGAAAGGTTATCCTATCCAGACCTCTGGTGGCAGCTGTATGCAAGGATAACTGTGTGAGGAATTACCAGCCTCACAGAGGAAGACGTGCATGTCTCTCAAATCTGATTTCTTCTAGTGATGGCAGACATGATCCACATGCACAAAGATATGTGAAAATACAAACTGTGCTATACAAGACAGTACTGATTATGCAAGAAAATAGTTGCTGTAACAAATCACGCAATGACCAAATAGATTGGGGGGGAAGATTTAAAATTTTAATTTAAAAAATAGCATTTTTTAAATGGAATTAAATACTTTGAAATGTTTTGAACAATAAAAATACATTCATGTCTACATGGAAATGTCAAATAAGTTATTTTAGCTCTTTCTTTTCCCCCAATCCTCAGCTATCCCTCTGGGTATTCTAGTTGTACGAGGAGACTGCGATTTGGAAACTTGTCGTATGTACATTGACCGCCTACAGGAGGTGAGTTGATTTGGACAATATTTTATTTATAATGACCATTTGATAAGCCTATGAGGTCTGTAAACAGTTCCTGACTATATGAATTCAGTTAAGGAAAGATCAGTGAAGAGACAACTTGTCTATAGTATTGTCTCAAAATGTGTAGCATAATTGTTATCCCTCAGTTTTAGTTCTTTACTGCTAAGATGAAATGGGATTTTAAAGTAGGGGAGAACTGTATATTAATCAATTCATTGAAATTTAAAAAGTGTCCAGTGAATACTTATTAAATTCAAAGCCCTAAGTTTGGTGTTACCAGGTGATACAAAGTTGAGTAAGACATTCATTGTCCTTGTTCTCAACGAGCTTACAATCTTACAGATAGGACAGGTATACAGATATCTATAATACATGGTAAAATACAATAAATGCCATTAAGACAGGTACAAATTAGATTTTAGACTATGAAAAGATTACAGAATCTCAGCTTTTGGAAGGAAAATTCCAAACATATCTGTATAGAAATCTGCTGTACACTACTGCTTCCTACAGCAGCCCATTCCAGTTTTGGATAGCTCTAATTGACAGGAAGTTTTTTTTTTCTTGTATCAAACCTAATTTCTTTTTCTTTTTAATTTCTACTTATTTATACCTAGTTCTATCCTTTGGGTCCAAGGAAGACAGGTTTAATCCTTCTTTCACATGACAGCCCTTCAACACACATATATTTGGGGAAAATGGTGGTACTAAACAGAGATGAGATGCCAGGGGTGATGAATTCAGTTATGGACACGTTGAAGCCATATTTTTGCTTCTTCTGCCTCAAAGCCCACATATAATCAATTACTAAGTCCTGTTGATTCTACCTATGTACTATATCTTAGATTTCCCCTGACCCCTTATAAATCCTAATACCATTGCCATAATTTAGTCCTTCTCTGTGGCTTGGCTTGACTGAGGCAGCTAGATAATTTGATATACACAGCACTGGACTTGGAGTAGAGAACACCTGAATTCAAATCCTGCCTTTAGACACTTAATAGCTGTGAGACTAAAGCAAATCATTTAATCTCTTTAAGTGTCAATCTCATCTGTAAAATGGGGGTAATAATAGCACCTAGCTCATAGGGTTCTTATGAAAAAAATTAAAGCATAGTCAAAATGCTTTACAGACCTTAAAGGACTATATAAATGTTATTAGACTGTTACAACAATCTCCTAACTAGTCTTCCAACCTTGACATCTCACCCTCATCAATCTCATACATTATTGCCATTTTAATCTTCTCAAATTGGTACACCTTTCATTGTGTTATTTCCATGCCCCCAAACCTTCAATTATTTTATATTGAGTGCCAAATAAAATAAAAACTCATTATTAGGTTGGCCTCCAGGGCTCCCTACCTGCCATATACTTTAATCAACTTTTCCAGGCTTGTCTCCCACCACTAACTCATGTACACCCCATATAGTAGCCAAACTCGATCACTCAAAGTTTGCATACATCTCATATTTCTCTTCCCTTTGTTTATCCTGTTTCTCTTCTTCTTCTTGGAATATACTCTTGACCAGTTTTATGTCCAACTTCAAGGCCATACTTCAACTCTCAATACTTTCAAAATGCCTTCATTGACTTTCCCCAAATATTTGTATGTTGAAGGGCTGTCATGTGAAAGAAGGATTAGACTTGTTTTCCTTGGACCCAAAGGGCAGAAATAGGTATAAATAAGTAGAAATTAAAAATAAAAAAATTAGGCTTGGTATAAGAAAAAAAAAAGTTTGAGATGCTAGAGGGCATCTAAATAAAGAAATCTAGGAAGTAGTTTGAAATCCTATTCTGTGACTAGAGGGATAGGTCAAAACTAGAGCTACAAATTCATGACTCATATCCATAGGGATGATGATGAAAACCAGGAGAGTGGATGCTTTGGCTGAGGGGTATACAGAAAAAAGAGAAATGAGTTATGGGCTGATCCTTACATTAAGGGAGTTGGAGGAGAAAGAAAAGTTATTAAATCAGACAAAGAATTGGTCAGAGGAGTAGGAGAAAGGGAAGGATACTGCAGTGCCATAGATGTCAAAGGAACAAAGAACTTTGAGGCTAGAGAGTAAGGTGTCAGTGGTTTCAGTTCTGAAGAGTAGTCAAGGTGAGGGAGGACATAGAAAGGACCATTGAATTTCCAAGCCAACTCTAGTGAAAATACATTGGTTGTTTTAAAAAGTTTTATAAGGCAGCCATTTAATTTATATTCCCCACAAATAGAATAAGAAATAAGAACAATTAGTTCTTGGTAATATAAGTAGGCAAACATTGCTAGACTGTATTCTACATTGTGGTTAAAGTGCTTTCAAACTGAAGCCACTAATTTTTAGAGGTCCATGCCTATGACTCAGCAATGGCAGTGTACTTAGGGAGAATTATACAGAAGAAAGGATGATCGTTGTGAACAATACCTGATGTCAGAGGTGAATGAAAAATAATTAGTAAATCCATGAATGCTCTTTTAAAAAAAATTATTGGCAAGATTATGTGTTTAAGGATTCTTGCCTTTATCAGGACTGTTAACATGTGGATATATATTAGCATTTCACTGACTCTGGGCAAGTAATAACTTTTCTAGTCCATAGTCTTTAAACATTCAATAGAGATGATAATATTTAACCATCTACCCTAGGTTGTGAGGAGAACATATTTTTTTTCCTTTTTATATTTGTTTACACTTGAAACAGAAAGCATCAGCCCTCCCCAAAAAAGAGGGGAGCATTTTTGTAAATATTAAAGTGTAATAGAGATGTAAAGAATACTTTTTTGTTAAAGGAATTGAACAATATTGAAGGATTCTAAGGTGCCTTCCATCTCTGACCATCTGTGAATCTGTTAACCAACCTAGAAGTCTTTTTTTTTCAATACTTAAAGTCTGAACAGAAGACATAAGCCCTTAATTAAACAAATTTCAGTTCTGTTACGGTACAGAAGTCTATGTTGAAACACAAATCCATACATGGATTTTTTTATTTGGGGCTGATTTAAAGACAAAGAAGACCTTCTAATTAAAGTTGAAGATACTACAAACTTGTAAAGAAGAGCCATTTTTAAGAGCAACAGAATAACAAATTTAAATGATCCTAATAGTTAATAATACTGAATCAAAACCAACAAGATGAAGTACAACAGGAATAAATATTAAGTCCTAAATTTAGTTGTTTTTTTTTTAATATTGCAATTAGGTTTAAAAATTACCTAAGTAAAGAATTGAGGAGACCTAATTTGGTAGCAGAAAATGTGAGTGAATTGGCTGGTAACAAGCTCAATATGCATTAATAAAAATATAGTGCTCCAAGCTTTGGAAGTAATATTATACTTTAAGTTGGTCAGACTATATCTGGAACCTTATCTTGATCTCTGACTTGGGAGCATCCAGAGGTAGGAAATGGAGATGGGTCAGGAGACTCTATTGTATGACAGATAGTTAAAATAATTGAAGATGATTACACCAGAGATAACAAATCTTGAGGAAGACATGATAATTGTCAAATATTTGAAGCAGATTGATTCTAAGTTGATCCAAAGGGTAAACTGGAATGAATGGGAGGAAGTTAAAGGGAGAGACAGATTCTGGCTCTGTGTAGGGAAACACTGTGGAACAATAAGAGCTGTCTAACAATGGGAACAGCTGCCTCATGAAACAGTGGGCTCTCAGTCATAAAATCTCAGTTCAATCCTGTGATAATCTGCCAAAAGACATTTTTGCAGTGGATGGGAGATTGAATGAGTTGATCTCCAAGATTCCTTCCAACTTAGGATACTATGAGTTTTCCTTGTCTCTGATATTAGCTGGAGTTTGGACATTAGATATAACTCAGATGCTTTTCTCCAGGGTCAAAAAATAGGCCATATGCTAGAGAGGAAGACATGAAAATAGGGGTTGAATATGATCTTATTATAAACCTCCTAATGAAAAGAAGAAAACTTCCTTAACCTCTGAGCTGCTTACCAGTGCTGCACAGGGACAGAAATCATCACTATTTGGGGACATAACTATCTGAACGCCTATTGGACGTGCCACTGTAACAGGAACCCAGTTTTCTGGTGTAGTAAGTAGAGAGGTTTGGGAAAATGGGGATGGAGTTAGAGTCCAGAGATGGGGAACCTGCGGCCTCAAGGCCATATGTGGCCCTCTAGGTCCTCAAGTACAGCCCTTTGACTGAATCTAGACTTCACAGAACAAATCCCTTTAATAAAAGGATTTGTTCTATGAAACTTGGACTCAGTCAAAAAAGGCTGCACCCAAGGACCTATAGGTCCACATGTGGTCTCAAGGTCTCAGGTTCCCCACCCCTAACTGTTAGGTGGTAGTCTAAGGTAGGAAGCAACCCTACCTAACTAAATGATGCCAAACAATACAGATAAGAATTCTAAGGGGAGGAGGAAAGAAAAAGAAAACTGTTCCAAATAAAGTATACTGATTTTTGAAGAAAGTAAATTTCACTGGCCATAGGAAACAAACTTAAAAAAAAAAGTCCTGTAGGAAGGAGGTATGAGGCTATAAGAACAAAAGTCTGAAGAAATGCTGACATTTGTGTGAGTAGATACACTATACTAATTATCCTCAGAGTTACAGAATGTGACAAATATAACTATTTCAGTTATAAAAACTTTTTTTAAAAAGTGGGTCAAGTTTTCAGCAGCTCAGTAAACCCTCATTTGTTATCACTCCATGGATTTGAAATTTATGATCCTTTAGACATTGAATATCAGAAGCTAACTTTTTTGCTATCTTTGAAAAAGCAATTTGCTTCCTGGGCGAATTATTTATTTTTAGGATAAGGATAGGAAAGACATTTTAACCATCTAAGAATTCATTATTTTGAGGTACTTTATTAGTATCATTAACATAACAGCAATGAATGTGTTAATTACATGATCCTTATCTGTTAATTAAAGGGGGTTGGGGAGGACCCCTAGCCATTAGTTTGAGTTATATGTGCATTTGAAACTAATTAAATACAATCTTTTAAAATATGTTCTTTGATTTGGACTGTTGAGTAGTTCAAGTTGAACTTCCTCCGCTGAAATGAAATTAAGTAGTTTTTGCCATATTTGGCAATGATTGTTTTTGTTTTTGTTTTATTTTGTTTGTTTTTGTTTATTTTAAATTACCATTGTATTTGGTTTAGTTGTTTTTAGGTTGGAGTAGTTAATACCTTCTTATGGTTAACTTTGTTGAACTACTTTTAAAGCCATGAATATTTCTTTCATTTTTCCCATTAGGATCTGCAGTCAGTTCCTTCTAGTACCCAGAGAGTTCATTACCAGGTAATTTATGATGACTTCTTCTTTCTCACTTTCAAGCCAACGGAAGTTCATCTTTTTATTATGTGATTTTAAAAAGTCATACCTTGTGCTGGGATAATGATAACTATTCATTTATAGAGCACTTTAAAGTTTTAGAAAAGGACTTTCCTTACAAACCTGTGGGGGAGGCCATGTAAGTACACTTGTTATTCCCACTTCATAGATTTGAAAACTGAGGCTCAGAGATGTAAAGTGATTTGCTGACGGTCACACAGCTAGAAATGTCAGAGATGGACTATATATCTTCTGGCTAAAAAAAAAAATCACTCTTCTTTCCACTAGATTATCCTTTAAGAAAAACTTCTACTTATTCTTATTCTTTGAAATGTCTTGATTTTATTGGAATAGTCATTAGTCTAGGAAACCTTAGATAATTGATTTTCTCCCCAGGACATTTAGAGTGTGCACAGTTTCTTCACAGTGCAGAGTTTTAGCTCATCATTCTTATGTCAGACTTTGAGCTCTGTTGATTATAATGTGAAATTAATAAGACCTGTGACATATGTTTGATCCTTGGTTCCCTAGCTTCCAATTGCTTCCATGATCCCAGCCAAACGTTCTCCAAATGTATCTCATTAGTCACAAAATGAACCAGTGGATAGAACGTGAATGACTCAGTATAATGAATCCCCGCACCTGGAGAAATAACTGCATATGAGGCCCTTCTGAGAAGATATCATCTTTGCATATGAAAAACATGTAGAAGTATAATTATATACCAAGTTGTTTTTATAGGAGAATACAGGTGTGCCTGTTTGAGGAAATCTATATGAACATCACTCAGAGAGTAACTACCAGCATTTTAGAACAATTTTTCATTTTATAATAATAACTCACATTTCTATCATAGCTCAAAAGCCAGAGAGACCTCAAAAGCAATCTAGTTCAATCTTCTAATTTTATAGATAAGGAAACTGGGCTTCAGAAAGGTCAAAGACAGGATTTGAATCCAGGTCCTCTGACACCAGAACCAATGTTCTTTTGACTGTACCTCACTGCAGATTGCTTTCCTAAGAACAACCTTGAGAGATGGGTAATGAAATATTATGACCTTCCTCCTCTGTCACAGATGAAATCATTAAGTTTGAGGTTGAGTGATTTGACCAAGACCAAACAGCTAATAAGAAGCAAAGCTGAAATTACCATCCATATCTTGCCTATTCCTAGTGGGTACTTTGCAAATGGATTCATTACAGAATTCCTTTAAAAGTGAAACTCCTTTAAAATATGTTTTGGTTACAAAAACTTGGTTCATAAATAGCTTTCCAAGATGAAAGTTATCACATAAAGTGTGACATGTCAGTATGTAGAAGGACCTAGGTATGCTAGTCACTGGGGAGATAGAATAAGAACACAGTAGGACTTCACTTTCCACTGTCACTTAGGAACATCAAAATGTCGAATTATAGAGATGGAAGGATCTTGGCAGTCTTGCAACTTTATTCATCAGATAAGTAAATTGAAGTTAAGTGACTTCACTATCTAGCTAAATCCAGCACATATTTTGTTAAATGAATAATATGTGCAAAGTTAGTTGCAGAGCTGGTATTAGCATCTTCCTCTAACTCCCACTTGGGTACTCTTTCTACTATACCATACTTTCTTTTTTACGTTAGTAACTGATTGGGAAATTCTCCTACTGCTGTTTTGAACATGAGAGCGCTCAGGCAATACATAGAAAAAATTATTTCCCAATAGCCAGTGTTTCAGTGAATTAATGTTCTGAGGACACATGATACATTGGTATTAGAATGGAACAGGGTCAGTCCAGGTCATTTGTTCTGTTTGGTCAGTATTGAAAATATATTTTCTGCCTCATTTTGCAAAACTAGATAGGGCTACTTCCTCCAAATATTATACTTTGAATTTTGGTGTTTGGCCAAGCTCAGTTTTTCTGATTTAGTTTATCAATTCATCTGAAAAATTATTCAGAAGATTTTGTCTAGGTAACTATTTCAGTGAAAGTGTCAAAGGAGGGAAAATTGATGATAGCCTTGAAGACTGAAGTTGTTAATGTTGTGTTCTATGTCAGATATGAAGAGGGGGAGGAAGGGACTAAGCATTTATATAGCAATTACCATGTGCCAGGTACTATGCTAAGCACTTAACAACTATTATCTCATTTGATCCTTACAACAACAGATATTATAAGAAAATTGTATTGTTGTTGTTTTTCAGTGGGAGGCAAAGATGTGGTGACCATAGGAGTAGTAGAAACTGAGGATAAAGGAAGGTTATAGTTAGAATAGAGGAGGATTTGCAGTGAAGGAGGTGGAGAAAGGGACAATTCTGTATCACCCACCTCAGACATTACTTCCCAATTTTAATGGATCTGCTGTCTCATATGTTTAAATACTCCAAACACTGATGAAATTCCCAGTCTATTCACATCATCTTCATCCTAAAAGATTCTTGTCTTGTCTATGTTTTTTCTATAACTCTTTTCTAGAGATATGGCTAATTATTTTTCTTTTCTTTTGGGGCATAACAAAATGAATAAATAGTACACTGGTCAATGTACATGTAGGAATGGCCCTAATACATTTTCCAGAGTAGATCTGTGCAACCTATGGCCAAGTAGAGGCACTGAAGAATATGTGAGACAGTTACTGTGGTCCTCTCTCTTTAGCACATTCCATCATTAGGGCCTCTTTTTATTTTATCTCCTATTCTCCTCTTCCTTCTTTTTCTCTATTTCTCTTTCCTTTCCCCTCTTTCTTTTTCTCCCCCTTTTTCTCCTACCTTCAGGGACCCACTGGTGATCCTCAGGCCTAAAGACATTGTTGAAATATATTCCACATCCAATATCCACAGAAAACGGAAGTGCTTAGGAAAATGACAAGCATGAGTGAGCTCTGTGAAGGAAAAAGGAGAATGCATTATCTCCTCCAGCCTGACATCTGCCTTTCCCTCCCCAGTATGTGACCACTTCCTTTGGGGAAACTACTTTGCCAGTTAAGATAGGTAGCTCTAAACCCCTTCTGGATTCTAATTATATCTGCAGAGTCCAGTGGTCATCTCAATAGCTGTGCAAGCACCAGAATTTGCAGCCTTGAGCTCGCCAGGCGCACACTAACTACATGATGTGTCATTTTGATGGAAGATTACCTTTGTGTTTGGTCTTCTGTGGTTGTACAGGCAGGAGTTTTCAGCAGGCTATAAATACCCAGCAAATTCCTGCATAACCCCGCCCCCCCAGTGCCTTGTTAGTTTAATGTGAGATGTCATTTTGTTAGCTTTAATACTTTGTTGGCATTCTACCATAAATTATGGAAGGGGAGAAACAAAAGCAATAAATAGCTTAAGTGTATAGAACCTGCTGTATAACTCACTAATAAGGTGTCTTGGGCACTTGTCGACCCGTCTAAATGCTGTGTTTCCTCTTGAGTTTGATCTAGACTTAGAAAGAGTCAACCAATATCCCCAGCTACAAACTAGTGGGCTGCCTAGGATTTCTAAAAACTTCAAATGCCTTATTAGAGTTTCTTTATTCCTTCACTCTGCTAGTTCCTTATACATGTTTATTTCATTTAATATCATTTCAATTACAAAAGGGGTATGTCAGTAAAGCCATTTTTAAAAACTCTTCTCACATGCCCCGTCCTGCCTTGCCCTGACTCACCCCCTCCCCAATAAAAAACCATACATTCTCTGCAAAAATGAAAGAATACTCATAATACCCAGTGCTGACAATTGAGGGCCTCATGTCTGGTGCTTTAAGAAAGTACCCTGATTAATGATGAAAGCAATGAATTAGGTAAAAGAAAACCTGGGTTCAATTATCCTCCCTGTGTCTCAGTTTTGTTCTCTGTTAAATAGTATCTACAGTATATCCCAGCTGCCTTACTGCTCCATTGTCTAGGTAAATGAGGGATATGACATGTTTTGAATGTATCCAAAGAAAGGCTCCACACAGTAAAAGCTCTAGTGAAAAAACACCGTAGTCCTCAAAGAGAAGCTCTGTTTCCCCAAAAAGCCTCAAAAAGCCATGTTCTGTGATTCACACACCATGGGAGAGAAGCTGCAAGTGAGATAGATACGGTAACATGGACTTACTGTCAGTCTCAGAATGCTTGCTGGAAATTCATACCAAAACCATCCTTCAAATAACTTAAGCAACTTAAGAATGAACGGGCCAACTGTGACTGAAAGGCTCATCTGTAAGATAGGAAAGTTAACTAGAAGTCAATCCCTTAAAACATTAATTAAGCAACTATTATGTACTAGGCACTATGCTCAATGCTGGGGATATAAAGAAAGGTGAAATCTGATTTTTACTCTCAAGGAGCTCACAGTCTAATGGGGGCATCAGCATGCAACCAGCTATGCACAAAGAAGCTCTAAATTAGAAAAGGATAAATTAGACGTTTCAGTCATAAAAGGACTTGACACCAGCATAGGATTTAGATCAAGTTAGAAAAGGAACATTCTAAGTCCAGGCAGTTTAAGGATCTGAACCCAAATCCAAGATCAACTAACTTACCTGTGTGACATTGGCCAGTCAGTCAACAAGAACTCGTTAAGCACTTACTATGTGTTAGACATTGGCCTAAGTACTGGTGATAAAAAGAAAGGCCTAAAACAGTCCCTGCCCTATAGAAGCTCACAGACAGAGACAATCCGCAAATAACTAGCTATATACAAACAGTCTGTAGATATATACCATGTCCTGGCTAAGTAGTAGATAACCTCAGAGGGAAGGCACTAAGGTGGACTGGCAAAGGCTTCTTGTAGAAGGTGGAGTTTTGTCTTAGACTTGTAGGAAACTAGGGAAAAGCTAGGAGGTGGAGATGAGGAGGGGGAGGGGGAAAGTCCCAGGGAAAATGGGGATGATCAGTGGAAATTCTGGAGTCACAAAATGGAGGGAGAGTCTTGTCTGAGGACTAGCAATAAGGCCCTTGTCATTGGATGACAGAGTATTTGGGGTTGAATAAGATGTAAGAAGACTGGAAAGATAGGTACTGGAAGAGGTCATGATGGTCTCGAACTCTAGGCAGCTGAGAACTTTGTAGAGCGCTGTTCTTTTGGGTGGCAGGGGGGTTTCAGGACTAGCCAGGATGAACCCTTAAGGTCAGGAATGAGCAGGGCCAGGATCCTTTGGTATACCCAAGGCAGTTGTCAAAGGGGAAGGTAATTCTATTCCTATCATTTGTGATTGCCTCCCTTGTAGAAGAAGCTGACTGAGCAATAGGAATGAGCTGTTCCCTATAATGCTCTGTTATATTATTTCATGGCCATCTCCTTATCTGCCCAATACTTATTCTAAGGACCAGCATGCCACTCCAAGCTTTCTCCTCCTCCATGCTATAATGTATATTTCTCAATGGTGATAACTATTTCATTGTGGTCTTTGTATCCCCAGCATCTAGCATAGGGCCCTCTGTGTGTCTGTATTTAACCAGGACTGTGATTTCATTGGTATAGGGGAGCTCTAGTTGAACAAACTCCCTCTACCAATGCTGATCAGCCCCCGCTCTGGAACTAATAATTCTGGAGAGTTGGTGGGGCACTGAGAGGTCAAGGTGACTTGTTCCGAGTCCCAAGGGGCAGGTAGATGGCACAGTGGATAGAGTGCCAAACGTGGAGTCAGGAAGACTCATCTTCCTGAGTTTAAACCTAACTGTGTGACACTGGGCAAGTCAATTAACCCTGTTTGCCTCAGTTTCCTCTTTTATAAAATAAGCTGGAGAAGGAAATGGCAAACCACTCCAGTATCTTTGCCAAGAAAACCCAAAATGGGATCATGAAGAATTGGACATGACTAAAAAAAAGGCTGAAATCCAACAGTCAGAGTTATACAGCCATTATGTGTCACAGGCAGGACTTGAATTCTGGTCTTCATGACTCCCAAGGTCAACTTTGTATCCTTCTACCCAACTGCCCATCATCTGCCATATTAATAAATATTGGTTGAATTGAATTGAATCTCTAAACTTTCTTATACCACCCTCCTCTCTTCATGAAAATAATCCATTGTGAACTTGATTGCTTTTCCCTTCCCCACTTCCTATGTATCCTCAGTGTTTAATACAATGTCTAGGACATAGTAAGTGCTTAAATGCTGCTGGACTGACTGACTTGTCTGAAGTAGCCGTCCTATGTTTATATTCCCAATCTTTCCCTCTTTCTTGGGATGGGAGAAAAATTTAATAATAATTATTTTGTATTCATTCTGAATGAAGACTTTTAAAGGAGATATATATATATACCCACATATACAGACCTATCTTCTAAAATAAATCCTTATGCAAGCAAGTGTAGCATCTGGTGAGTGGAAGAGAAAAAAAGTTGAGCAAATAAAAAAGATTTAGTGGGACAAAGTTCAGAGATGGAGGAGATATGTTGCTGGATTATTAAGAGAGATAGTGATCAAGAAAGTGAAATTGGCTGTTAGTCATAAAGTGAACCAGGGATCTAAACTGAAAAGGTGAGGAGCTTCTTCATCACTACTGAATTTTCTCTAAGCTTGGTGAAATCAGAGATGTAGGACTATTCCCAGCAAAAGTATAGCTCAATCCTAAGTGGATATTGCTTAATTGTATAAACTACTGAAGTGCATAATAGAGTTTCTCTGCCCTCATTAAATTGTTGTACATCCTTTACGGTTAATTAAATGCAGATTAAGTGCTCCATTTGGTTATTTGCATGTCAAATAGTAGTGTTCATGCTTTCCTAATCAATAAAGGAATAGTTCAAGCAAGTTGACTTTTAACCATCTATCTATGTGAGACATATGAGAAACATAAGGCTTTGTTTAAGCAAGGTGACAGTTTTTTTTGGTTCAACTTTATAGCTGCTGAGAAATGGATTCACCATAAAAATAAATCCTTTCACAGTGAAAAAAATATACATGTCAGGACTTTGGGATAGCACAATTTTCTCAGCTATTTAAAAATATTGAAAGTATAGTAATTTAAAATTAGGAATGCACATATAGTACTATACTTCAAAAATATTGACAGCAATATTATTTCTGCTAATCATAATAGCTAATATTAATAATAGTTTTAAAAAGTGTTTTACCCATGTTAGCACATTTTATCTTAACTGATTCTTGCAACAGTCCCATGATATGGGTAATGCAAATGTTATCACCATTTTGGTGATGAGAAAACTGAGATTCAGAAAGGAAGAAATGAAGAAAGGAAGGAAAGAAGGAGTAATTAAGTGTCTACTATGTGCCAGGTACCGTGCTAAGCACTTTGCAAAAATTATCTCATTTATTTTCACAACAACCATGGGAGGTAGATGTTATTATCCCCATTTTATATTTGAGGAAACTGAGGCAGATAGAGGTTAAGTGACTTGCCCAGGGTCACATAACTAGTAAGTTTCTGTGGTCAGTTTTGAAATCAGGTCTTCCTGATTCTAGTCTCAGTGCTCTATTCAAGCATTCTATCCCTCTGCCACCTAACTGTGAGGTTAAGTGATTTACTTATAACCACACAACCAGTAAGTGCCACACTTAAGAGTCAGTTGACAAGGTATCAATATGGTAGAGTCCAGGTTAGCATTTGAACAGTCTTTTGGACAGGGTTGTGGCAGTGTTTAGTTTTGATTTTCCACATCCACATTTAAATTCTTTCGAAAATGCATATTTTATTTCACTTTGTATTTGACTTAAAATATTCAATCAAAAATGGGTCACCGACAGTGAGGTTTTTAAAAATGTGCTTCATTCCCAAGGCACAGATATTTCTGCCCATTTTTATCTTGCTTCAGTCCTTTGGATTGCTTTGGAGATAAAGGTATTATGATCACTTACTGAATCTGGCTAACTAGAAACTCAGTAGTTTTCAGCGATTCTTACTCTACATGGTACCTGAAATCTCTGTTGCAATTTGCTAATGCTCTGTTATCAAATGCCATCATTCTTCACAGAGAATCTGAGTTTTAAGAGACCTCAGAGGCCATTTAGTTCAGCCCATACCTGCACAGGAATGCCCTTCACAATATCCCCAACAAGCCTGAAGACCTCTAGTGAAGGCAAAATGCCTCAAGTGATCAATTCTACTGTTGAATTGAGCCTAAGTCTCTATCTTCTTCACTCATTACTCCCAGTTCTTCACTCAAAGATGAAATAGAAGAAATTTATGATCTACATCCTGATATCTTTATTTCCTTCTGCGCAGGTGGTCTGTAGTATACACCCATCAAAATATTGCTTTTGTTTTTCTTTCTATTGATAAATCACCCACTATTTTCCATTATTATTTCTTCCTCTAGTTCATGGATTTCCTGAAATTAGTTTATCTTCTGACTATATATACAATGCTATACAGCTATCTTTCTATTGATATCCTTTTAAATTAAAGAAAATCCTTACAGAGTAATTTTCCAGTCATGAATCCTGTCCTACCCAATTTCATTAATACCAATAAATTGAAATTTGATCTGCCTTGTTTATTACTCATACTTTGTGCATTAGTGTATCTAAAGTTGTGGATTTATTTCTTTTCTTTATTTTAGGCCATATTCTTGGATATTGACTCTGGTAAATTACTAGAGTTTTTATATTCTTTTTCCTATTTTGCATCTGATAATCTGAGTGATTGGTTTTATATATATATATATGTATATATGTATATATGTACAAATGTGTGTATATATATATATACACATATGTAGTTTTCTTCCTTGCTTACTTTTTTGATTCTAAAGCTTTCTTAAACTAATTTATAAGACTCTAAGCAAATATGTTTTTCCAAATTTTTTTTCTATTGTGAATTTGAAAACATCAACAAATATGAACATTTCCATATGCAAAGAAGACAAAAAAGATGAAAAAAGATGATCATGTATGAAACTGTGAATCTTTATTATGCATTGGCTTTTTTATTATATCAAGAGGATATCTATATATCTATATATATTTAATCAGAGACTGTAGAATCATAATGTACTGTAGATTTTTAGTTGGAAGGGAACTTAGAGGCCATCTAGTCCAACACATTTATTTTATTGTTGAGAAAACTGAGATCAAGAGAAGGTAAATGACTTGCCCATAGTAAGTAGCATAGATAGCTTTTTTTCTTCTGTACCAACTATCTACCTTTAGTCAGTAGTGGTGAAAAAAAACTCAACTGTGCTCAGGATTTCATAAATCCTTCCAATGCTTTCTAGGTTCCTTTTGGCAGCCTAATTTGTCCTGGATCATCAAGAGTGGGTAATGTTTTTTAGTTTTGGTAAATTTCTGTCACTATCTATATCTATGCCTATATCTATATATCTCTATTTATATCCTTATATATCTCCCAGGAAGATAGCCAACCTCTCCATTGTTCGTGACAGGTTAACAGATAACTTCTCTCCTGGGAGTGCTTGTGGATCCATATTATTCTTCCTTGGAGTTGTTTACTTTTCAGAGGGTTCAGTTTTACCAACATGGGAAGAGTTACATGTCTATTAACATGCCTCCAAATATTTAGGAATCCTTCATCTTTATTTCTTCTGGATTACAAATTTTTTCTTCCCTCCCCTCCCCTGACACAAGTGAAGATTCACCCCTGCTTCTTCAAATGATTTTGTTTGACCTTACATTTGATGAGAGGCAATGTGGTGTAGTGGATAAAGAGCCAGGCCTAAGTCCAGGAGGACTTGGGTTCAAGTTTCACCTCTGACACATATTGGCTGTGTGACCCTGGACAAGTCACTTAACTTCTTAGTGCTCTAAACAACTTTCTGGAAATGTAAGAGCCAGAGAAGATATTGCCCTGCATTGGTGGAGGGAGTCTCTCTCCCTAACTCCCTCACCTTGGACAGCTCCCTATGCCAGTGAAATAACAGTCCAGTCCCTCTCCCTCTGTTTGTCACTGCAGTCAGGTATGCCCACTTCCCTGCTTTCTCCTGCAGGCTTTAGTCTGCCAGAGCCCTGGGACTGGTTCCTGCCCCAGCAGAATGTGCACAAGAAGCTTCCTTCCCGGGATAGAAGACTGCTTCAGATCTAAGGTCTCCTTGGTGCCAGTGCCCTCCCTTGCTCTGTTGTCTTGACTGCTTTTGTCCTGCTCTTTTGGATCCTGTGGTTCTTTTTGGTTTCTGGCTGCTTGCTCAGTCTTTTGAATGTCTGCTTTGGCCTTTGGTCCCTGGGTACTCCTGATTCTTACATCTGCTTGTCTGGTTTCTGCCTTATTGTCTTGCCCCACCCCTCAAATTGTGTGTGCTTTCAGAGATAACTTAATGTAGAATCAATCAATCAACCTGTATTTACTAAGCATCTATGATGTGCCAGGCGTTGAGGGTACAAATACAGTGAAACAGTTCCTACTTCCTAGGAACTAGCAGTTCATCAAGCATTTATGAAGCCCCTATGATGTTCAAGACCATACCGGGATGGCATAGACCCTAGAGCAGGTATTCTTACCCTGGGTTCTGTATGAGGATCATAATAGCCTACCTGCAAAGGTTGTTGTGAGGAACAAATGAGGTTATATTTGTAAAGCACTTTGCAAACCTTAAACCACTATTTAAATTGGAGCTATTTTTATCATTATTGTTAAACGTATTTTGATAGCCATATTCAATGCTATTTGGTTTCTTTTGAAATCCTGTGTATTTTGTGTTATATATTTAAATACTGAGAAGAGATCCATAGGCTTCACCAGCTGCCAAGGGGATCCATGACCCAAGAAACACTAAGAACTCTTTCCCCTAAAGCAGTGCTTTAAACATCTGGCCATCTGGGGCCCACACTCTGGACTGTGGTGGACAGCAAATTAAATGTATTTGGAAAATACTTATCAAAATAGATTAAATATAATGGAGCAGCTAGCCTTAATATGTGCTTTCTAAGTTAATATGTTGCCTGCAGAGATCCTCTGTATAGCTTAAAGGCTCACGTTTTCTGTTTGAGTTTGACACTACTGCTCCAGAGAATACAGAGACAGCCTTAGAATCAGCAAGATCCAGTTTTTCTAAGTTAGTGTTGTCCAAATCTAGCCCGAATCCCCCAAATCCAGCACATCCTCAGGCTTCTCAGTTCAGGCTTCTCATTCTGTCCCTGGTATTCATGGTTACTATCCAGAGATTTAGAGCTAGCTACTCTCATCGCACAGCCCCCCTTCATTTGAACATCAATAAATCCCCATTTATCAACCTCTCCTTCATAGATTTGACATGTCAGATTTTATTAAAGATTTTATATTACATTCAAATACAATTATAATTGACAGGGTAAATCCAGGTGTAGTTTTTGCTCTGTCAGGCACAGCTGCTTTGTAACTGGTAAGATATCTCCCTTTGTACAGCTTCCCCCGGCTCACTAATTTGTGATTGTTTGTAAATATAATATTCATCAAACATTTACTCTTTGTAAGTACATTAAAGAACAGGTAAGCAATGCTGTGTAACTCTTCTGTGTTTTATCATAATTGGCTCCCATGTTAATAAGGTTTGGATAAATTCTGTCCTATGATGTCCTTTTAAGCTTATCAGATTTTTATTTTTGATTTTTTTTTTACCAGAACGATAATTTTTCCTAGTATATTATACTTAGACGCAGCCTGGATTCAGCCTCCCAGTATCTGGAGTGTCCTGATTCCCAGGCCTCAGCCCATCCCTCTGAGCTGGGGTTTCTGGTGGTTTGTCCATGACACCCTTTCCCATCATGGAAGCTCAGAGTTGAAAGGGGCCATAAAGACTCTCTAGTCTTAGCCAGACCTAAAACATTGCTGACACAGTTTCTTCTTGGAAACCTCTAATGAGGAGAAACCACAGCTTTCTAAGATAGCCAATTCTGCTTTTGAACAGTTCTAATTATTAGGAAGTTTTTCCTTATATCAAGCTTAGACATCTACTCATTGTCCCGTATTCTTTTAGAGCCAACCTAAAAAAAGAAACACCTCTTAAATATGAAAGCTCTCTCTCCCTCACCCCATACTTGAATGGTCCTTGATAAAATATCTAAATATTCCTTATTCCCTGCTCCTCACCCTCTAGTTTTACAGTACTGAAGGGCTTGAAGATTGAAAAGGAATTTACTGGCTTTGAGGTTGATTATTTGCCTGAAATTCAATTTTTTTTTGTTTCAAGAAGAGAAATTTTCATGTCCCATTCAGAGATAAATGCATCAAAAATGCAGAAGTAACACATTTGTACAGTGGTTCTTAACTTGAACTATGTTTCTTTTTTATATGTATTTTTGATAATTGTATTTCAATGTAACTAATTTCCTTTACAAGCCTATGTATTTTATTTTATATGATTAAAAACATTCTAAGATGGGGTCCCACAGGGCTCATCAGCCCATCTAAAGGGTCATGACACAAAAGAAGTTAAGAATCCCAGCACTGGTAGAAGTCAGTTCCAACCAAGGTGTAAAAAAATGAATATCAACTCATGAACTGTTTTGAAAGGGGCAAGGGTGTTATTATGTAGTTCTAACACTGGGTCCCTGAAAATGGGGGAGGTCAGGACAGTAAATGAGAAAAGGGGGCAGAGAGGAAAGGGAGGATGGAAAGGAACTTAGTGGACTTTGTAGTTTTGATCAGGGTCAGTCCTTTTTATCTTCATCAGTGCTAGGGCAAAAAAGAAATAAAATCTATAAAAGAAATCCATGCTCTGTAGAGCATACACTGACACACCTTTATATAGGGAACTTTCCCCAGAGCTACATTATGCATTGGCAAAAAGTGTACATTTTCGCTAATTAGAATTTATACATTATATACATGTTATATATGTATATATGAAACATACATGTACACACACGCACACATGCAAAGATAAAGAACTCCTAGAAAATTGGCCTGAATTTCTGTCAAATTAAACATAGAAGCAACAAAACCTCAAAGCTTCCCTGGCCTCTGGAAGAAGCTATATTTCTTCTTCTTTTTCCTTGTCTCGCTTTCCCGGAGCATTCAGCTTTCAACTACTCCAGAAAAGAAAATATCCAAGAAGCCAACCCTTTAATATGCAAGTGAAACTATTTAATTAAAACATGTACATGGTTTGGAGAAGCAATTTTCCCTACAGGACTAGGATCTGTGTGGGGTTTAATTATCAACTGTATTTCAAAAAGGTGAGTTTGGTTTCTAAGGATTAAGTGAGGATATAAATTAGAGTTCATGGAGAACCTGAGCTGACCTGTAGAAAGTTGACAATCCAGAGTGGCCAGATATTGCTACCTGAGATGGTCAACTTAATTGAAATTCCAAGGCCCATTTTTGTCTTATTCCATACCAGCTCAGAACATGAGTGTTAGGCTAGTTGCAGAAAATGAGCTTTGCAAAGTTTATAGATTAAAAGGTAGAAGGAATCTTAAAGGTACAATACCTTCATTTTGCAGAAAAGGAAATTGAGACCCAGAGAAGGTAAGTGATTTTCCCAAAGTCACACAGCTGATAAATATTTGAAATGAATATCCAGCCCATACTGACTCTAAATCCAGGTCTGTATTCACTATTCCATGCTTCCAAATCAACACTGTTTACTGAACATATATAGTCTGTGTGATTTTGAATAAGACTTTTAACCTCTTAAGACTCAGTTTCCTCATCTAGAAAGTTAAATGATTGGGCTAAGAGAGTTCTACAGCCAGTTCTAGTTCTAAAACTGTCACTTTATTATGCTACCATATGCCTAGTAGTATTTTAGGCTCTGAAAGGGATATAAGAATTCAGATTCATATAGCATTTTAAGATTTGCAAAGTGTGTTTCTCACAATGACCATTTAAGGTGAGTGGTACAAGTATTAGGATGTCCATTTTACAGATAAGAAAACTGAGGTATAGAAAGGTGAAGTGACTTGCCATCATCACACAGCTAGTTACTACCAAAGCTTGGATTCATCAGGTGTGGAACAGATTTTTTTTTAATCACAGAATTACCAAAGGAATGAATAGCTGAGCTACCAGTCTGCAAACATTGTTGCCTTTAACACAGAAAATAAATAGACCAACCAGTGGGTTAGGATGAGGCAAAGAATGTGGACAGTTGAAGAGGAGGATAGTATTTGCCCTTTAGGTTCTGGTTGGGTGAGGGCTTCTGATCCTGTTCTGTGTCTAGGTGCCATCAGGACACCTCCAGAAAAGGACATCGGGTTCCCTTCCCCAAAGAGCAAGGGGCAGGTGAGAGATATGGTGGAATGGGGTTTTACCAAGTTATTAAAAGGTGATATTTACATTGAGAATTGCCTTGCCTTTCAAGTTTGAGATTGGGGCTTAAACAGTTGTGGTTCAAAATAGTACTTCCAGACACATACTGCCACTTTGATATACGGCTAAAGTCTATTAATCCTGATTAGGATATCCTTGAACCTTCAAATCCAGTTATGCAGAAGCCAGCTGCCATAGATGATTTATAAAGCCAAACCAAGCAGAAGCTTGCCATCCATCCTTTCTTTGTTTTCTCTCTTTCCCTGTGTCTCTCTTTTTTTTTTTTTTGAGACTTAATCTCCCCTATGTGGTAATCACTGAAATAGAGCCATCTTGCTCTAAATGACTTCTCAGATCACCATTGGTCTCCATTATATCTGACTTCAATTCCATGAAGTTTGACTTTGACTCCAATTTTCATATTTGACTCTTATGCTTTTGACACTGAGTAATTTCTGCTTCTTCATTAATTTAACTGGAGGCATTGAGTAATATCCAGTTTTGCTGGGAAGCTTAAATTTCTACAAAATTGACATTTCAAATCTATTGCACTTACAGAGGATTAGACACTACCTGGAGTCAGTTTTGGAAAGATACCTAAGGCTGGGCTGCTACTTGATGTGTGAATTGTTTTATATTCTCAAGTTCTTAGCCTGGCATTCAAAGCCCTCCATTATTTGATCCTAATCTATATCTCCAACCCTAACTCCCGATACTTCACCAAAGAAACACACTTTAGCTAAGCTGGTGTACCAAATGTTCTTCTAGTAATCATAGGGTCATACCTTTAGAAGAGGAAGACACCTCAGAGATCATCTAGTCCAAGCCATTCAATTTAGTCCAAGAGAGGTTAAGAAA